TTCTTTAAGTTACACTCGGGCATCTTGACGGTTAGGACTTGAAGTTTTTAGAAGATTCAGGATTTTATATGCCCTGGGGATCAGCTCATTTTGTCTGTAGAAAGGCAGAGACAATAGGTCACGTATTTTTACATTGTTGGGGAAAGGGGGATCTATCTGTGGATTGTTTTACGAAAAACGCTTAAAGAAGAACTTTATACACTCGCTTGCCATCAGGTTTATACCTATAAAATAAGGATGGGCTGCCGTTTGATCTAATAATGCTTCTTAACTTGTTTGTTTATGGCGGGCTATAGAATGGCTGGTTTTCACTGCGACTTGGACAGGCGACCTGCACGCTTTCGCGAGAGCATGGTTCAGTACATTGATGTACTGAAACAAGACTTAGTACCCGACTGGCTTTCCAGGGTTGAGCCCCTGGCTTACCTATAAAATACTTCTAACAATATAATTACTCATATGTTGGTTGACTGTTTCGAAATTGTTGCAGTTCTGTTTATCATTGTATATAACAGTTGGCTATTGGTGTATGTGCCGTGCTAAAGGACCTTTGACAGCGAAAGTTTTGTTTGCGATTTTTTACGGCAATGCAGAAATTGAATCTTAAATGCTCCAGCGCATCATATATTTATTACTAGTGTAGTTAATTCAGAACAATTTCACGTAAGCTTTAAAAGCGCCCACCTAAATAACACTACCGCCTCACAGCACAGCAGTGCCCGAGACTATACGTGCGCTCAAGTTTCGGTGACGCTAAACGCGCCGTTTTGAAATACGGGCCCCCGCGGGTGGCCAACATAGGTCGGTAAAACTTGTGGAGCTCTCTCGTGAAATATATTTCTAGCTTTGCATTCACGAAAATTTTCATGAGCCTGGCTGATCCGAGTCTGAACGAGTTCGAACGAGTCGACTCACGAGTTCGTTAGTCTAGCATTAGCTTCTTCCACCACGGTTTCAATGCCCTTTAGCACGAATATCTCACGTAATCGGTGCTCTTCTTGGCGCCGTTTGACAATAGTATCTTCAAAAACGAGTTCTGAGTGTTTGCAAATTAGTAAGGTCACTTTTCTAGGAAGAGATGACAGCATAAGAGTTGATGGGAGATCAAGGCATCCTACGTACTTCACGCTTCTAATTAATATTGAAAGGGTGTATGAATGGCACTGCTTTGGAATACCTGTGAGTAGACGTGAGTTTACACGTGAATCCAAATAAGGCTGGTAGTAATGCAGAGGATGATTAGATATATAACCCTACGTCGGCAAAAAAAAAAGTAAAACTCACCCAAGAAGTATAGTTTGCGCTTTGGACACACTCGGCCTCGCACTCACGAAAATTTTCTTTCACCGGACTCACTTGGACCCAGACTCTCGATCTGAGTCTGGGAAAGTCCGAGTGATGCGACTCATGAGTTTGCCGACATATGGTGACGAATAATAAAACGATGTGGGTGCTTTGAGCGGGTCCATCTCAGAAAAAAAGAAAACCATTCCTGGCATAAGTAGCCAAAAGTTACCTTGAGAGCAGCTAACAGAACAGCAAGAGAAGTGACGAACAATAGTCCTTGCCGGGTGTCACAAATGAGTGCTCAAGAAAGCGCGAACCTCCAAATTCTGGCGACGATGACGATACTAGGCCCCATATTGTTGCTTCCGAAGCCAGCGTTAAAGAAAAAAAAACAAGCATCAAAAGACTCCTCGAACGCGCCGTCTCGCCCCCTCAGAAGCGTCCCTAAGTTGACCAACCTCCTCGCACCGATCGCCGAGCGAACACCCGAGAAGGAAAGCGTGAGTCACTTCCAGAGTTGCGTCACGTGTCGCAGATTGTTCTCGAAAAGGCTCCCCTTTTCTCCAGCTTTGTAGGTGCAGCGCGCGGACGAAACGATTAGAAACGTCTAGAACTCGGCGCGAAAGGTATTTAAGCGAGCAGGGGAGAGTGGTGATCAGGAAGAGATGAAGTTTTTTTGCCAGCGTGCGTAGAGTGTTTCCGCCGTCTGGCGAAGGCTTATGTCTTCAGTGACAAAGCCGTTGAGATGAAGAGCATTTCTACCTGAGGGGTGAAGGCTTGTGCTACAAGCAGAAGAAAAGTGTGTGTCTACCGCCAGTGAGCGAAGACGCGCTCTGCAGTCGTAGCGCGTGGGAGGCCGACGTGTTACCGGCGAAGAAGTTCGGTGCTTGGAGTGCGGACATTTGGCTACGCGAGGTTTCCTGGAAGAGAAACTTCGGGTGCAGCGGAACAACAGCAGCGCTAGACTTTGAGTGAGTGGTTCCTAGAATAGAATCATTCATGCTGTATCCGAGATCTTGGGACTGAGCAAGTTGATTGATATGTGGGGTTTAACGTCCCAAAACCACCATATGATTATGAGAGACGCCGTAGTGGAGGGCTCCGGAAATTTCGACCACCTGGGGTTCGTTAACGTGCACCCAAATCTGAGCACACGGGCCTACATTTCCGCCTGCATCGGAAATGCAGCCGCCGCAGCCGGGATTCGATCCCGTGACCTGCGGGTCAGGACTGAGCAAGTTGTCGAACTATTTAGTCTTGAAGGGACACTAAAGGCAACTATTAGGTCGACATTGTTTGTTGAAATGGTGGTCCAGAAACCTCGCAGTGTTACTTTTATGCCAAGGAATTAAGGACCTCTTTTGAAATAAAATCACGTTTTAGTGGTCCCCATCGGGTTAGCGCACTTCAAATTGCCCGCCTTTAGGAGCGGACCGACCGGACCGGCTCGCGTCACTGTTGCAGTGCACAGCGTTGCCCGGCTTTACTGCGCTAGTAGTAGCAGACCGAAAGCAGCGGGAGCCACAGCAGCAACAACGACCATTGATTAATTTTTCATTGGCTTCCACATTGCAAATGTTTGTTTCACCTGCACCCCGCTAGATAGCACCACCTGTCCCGTGTAACCACGCGAAAATTCTATATTTTAACCACTCCCGCCATTCCCCATAGTAACGTTTTTTTTCTCCATGAATGAAACAGAAACGAACAAGCAGCGTTTTGTTGCGTCTCTTGATTCACGGAAGGTTCTTTATTTAGTGCAGTTAGATTGATTAATTGTAGGCAGTCCGTCTGATGTCACTGGGATCATTTTGAAATTGTCCTACTGCGGCGCTTGTGTTCTTGTCCATTTACCCCAATTTCTCGGTAAGTAGGGCATTGTTGATAATATTGTCATTTTAGATGTCATACATTGAGCTTTCGCTCTGACGTAAATCGTTATTTGACTTGAGTGTCCCTTTAAGTGTCTTAGTTGTTTAATGCATGCGAGTATTGTAGCGCGTGTAGTGTCCGCTGTCTTGAGTATTTCTGCTGTGTTGTGTACCCGCGGTTTAGAGTCCGTTGTTCGATTTGTGACGTATTGTATTATAATCAGGTGTGCATATTTGTGTGTTGTTTGATCTGCCATATCCGAGAATATATTTTTGTTCTGTTTATCAACTCTCGGCTCAGGCTCGATCTTTGGACCACAGCCGGCGTTCGCTGGTGCGCCGAATAGGACATCTAAATTGTCTTTGCTTTCATGGTGCAGTTCGGGGGGGCCGGTACTTCGGCCCTTAAAATTAGCCCGACGATTGCCTCCCTAATTAAGGTATTATAATGTTGGGTGATAGAGTAAGGTATTGTGCGCTCCCCGCAAATGTTCTCTGACGGCGATAATACTTGCTTGTTTGACCTCTGTAACACGTCCCAAGGGGGTCCTCGTCTACATCAAACGACCGAAAATGTCGATTGGATATGAATATTCATATGAGCACGCACCCTTACTTTGAAACCAAATTAAAATATCTTATCAGCAACGCTTGTCACTATTATTCCGTCAGATTTGAGTGGCTCAGCATGCAGGTCTTTCAAATAACACAAGCATCTCGAATCTCCAAATTTGGTGTCAAAGGCACTTTAAAAAATCGGCAATAGGGGGAAAAAAGTCTCGTGGCTCCATGGTAGAACTACTGCTTGTGCTTGCCACTTAGATGGCCTGGGTTCGATCCTCACTCGCACCTGGAATTATTTATTTTATTTTCATCTTTTTCAATTTTTTGGTCACGTTCAAGATTATTTTGCGCTCACAGCCAGCGATGCCCACGCCAGAATGTCTGCGACTTGAGCTGTTTAACGCTATCGCGTAAAAAAATCTAGCGGCGTTCATTGCAGAAAAATTGTAGTAACATTGATTTTGAGCTCCGTACCACTTACAAAGCCTTCGCTTTAATGTAAAGAAAATTTGGTATTGAAACTAGAAACGATGCTCTCAAAATAAATTTTCTGGCAAACAACGCAGTTTGCAAAAGCTTTCACGTGACCAAAAAATGTTTGTTCTCTCAAATATTCTAGCATTCAATGCAATAATCAGCCCCAATATTTTTTTTTCAAATAAAGTTGAGATGGTCGCTAAAATGACTGAGACGTTTGGGGTGCAATGACAGCGGTCACAAACACGCGGCTTCAAAAGGAATAAAAATATTTGTGACGTTGCAAAATGATACTCGCATTATTTACTGGCCTATTGCGATTAAAAACACTTAGTTTAGGCAAGCTACAAAGGGTGAATTGGTGTCGAGCATTTTTTTTTCTCGTGAGGCACCTTATGGTGTCACCGTGCGCTGAAAGAAAACAGTGGGACAAAATCTCTACAACTGACCTCCAGACTTGAGTCATTCCGAGATTGCTATCAATATGTTTCTAAATCTTGACGCCAAGTTCGCTTCAGACATGATCGATGTGAAGTACGTGAAATGCCTTCAAATGGCAGCGTTAGGTCACATTTTGTTCACACCCTTTCCTTAACTTTAGCTTTCTTCTTTGCTTTAGCCTGAGCGGGACTAAATTTCGTGGCTGAAGACCACTAGGTGAGGTGAGTTTCACACCCCTGCTGCAGTGAAAACGCAGGAGCAGAGGAGACTTACCTTTACAAGTTACATCCACGGAAATGTCATCACCACCATGTCGGTTCAGGGGCCAGTGCGTAACAATTGAGTAAACACACAAGACACTGATACAAAATAATGCTACTTTTTCCATAACAAGCAAAGCGAAATCATAGGTACAAAGTGCGCTACAACATGCGTACACTAAAGTTCTGGTTTTGTATATATACGCGCATGACGTGCCACCCGAGAACGTCCATTTTCAAACTACAGCAGCTATCACACCTGTCTCGTGCTTTGGCATTCTGATTATGCGTATGTAACCCGTTGTTCATCTTGGCTAAAATAGGATATCAGGGAGTTCCTTGAAAGGCAAGAACACTGTGCAATGCTAAAATGCTGCGAAGACCACTGCCAAAAATAATAATAGGAAGGGCCACCAGGCCCGAGTACCGCTGCTCTTCACACCCACCAACGCAAGGTCCGGCCTGTCGGAGGTAGGGCTTCCTGCGAGGGTTAGAAGGAGGCGAAGCAATCATCACCGGCCTGCATGACTGATTCACTTTGTCATCGCCGGATAACTTAGTCTAAAATTATAGCAGGGTTATTCATCCTTACGGTCAACTATTCTAAACCACTCGAGCCGTGACACTAGTCGCACAGGAGAAGAATCACAAACTATAGAGGCTCGTGTTTTTAGCCTCTTCGCCTCCCCAACTGCGTCTCTCGACAGGTGACACCACCTGATACAGTGTCCTCAGTTGTCTCCGTATTTCCTCTTTCAGTCACTAGCAAGTGCGCAAACGCCCGCATTTGCAGAATGGTAAATACGCGTGTGTAGTAAAAAAAGAGAGACAGTTTCACTGCAAGGGCGAAGCGATGAATGCGATAGCAACAAATTGGAATGTCACTAGAAAAACAGCAAGCAGCTCGAAACTCGCAGCACGCTGTTCAAGCACACCAGACGCACGAAACGAATGCACAGATAAACAAAAGACGAATGCGAACTAATAACTGTTAGAATTGGTAGTTATTGCCGCTAGAGTAGCACGCGCCTTTCGCAATATTTGCGGTGAAAGCACAAGATTAGCATGCCACCTCCATCACAAGATAAGCGCGCGCGCACGAATGACCGCGCCGTGAAGGGCAAAGTATAAGTGGTAGAGATAGGAAGAGCGCGCGCATCGCAACGAGCTGGGCGACGACATTAAAGGGACTCTGAAATGGTTGTGACTATTTCTCACAAACACATTGGGGCAGTAGATCAAGTCCCAAGGGTAATTTAGCCGATTTGAGCCCTCTGCATAAACTGTGTAATTTATTACAACGCTTTAAAGCTACAAATCGCTCCAGATAACTGCAGATTGCTGCGACTCAACCAAACGCCTTTTCAACCGCCCATACACCAAGCAACACACTCTGCCCACTGAAGTCGTTTCCAGCTGATCTCATTGGCTGTGGAACGCGCAGCACAAACTGCCGGTATGGGATCGGCGGCGGGATTTACATGTATGCGGTCTCACGCTGCATCGTGACGCAGGCACCGTGTAGGCGGAGTTTAGCCCCGGACGCTCGAAGGAAGAGTTGAGGGCAGTTGAGGGGGAAAGACGGACTGGAGGAGGAAAGTACTTTTTTAGTACTCGTAGCTCCGTTAATAATGGGCGTTTCGATTGAACTCTGGTGCCAATGATTTGCTCCAGTAGTGGTCTAATCAAAAACGGTATGTGAAAAAACTGTTTTAGGGACCCTTTAAAGTGCGCCCTCCGTGCCATATTTCTGGACATAAAGCCCACAAAAGTGTTTCCGACCTCTGCGCATCGCCTGCAGTAAATGGTGTATATAAATAGCTCACCAATAGTATGCTCAAGAGCGTACTTTCTATGACCAAGTCTTTGGTCTAACGCCGCGTGCGGTGGAGCGAGGAGTCGTAAGTTCGAGTCCCCGGTCGCGCGCTGCGGAAAATATTTTTCTTTGTGGCCTTTATACACATAAATATACAGGACATGATGGCGAAAACCAGCCGAGAGTGTACATAAAATTGCTATCGCAATAAAACAACATGAACAAACAATAGTTGTGAAAGAAGACAACCTCAAGCGCTGTATGCATTTGAATTAGCTCTGCAACAATAGCAAGGTGTTCCACGTAGCAGCGAGACATGCAAGTTGAGCATCTGCTCACTTTCACAAGTTGAAAATACTGACAAAAAGGCGTGTAACAATATTCGAGTTTCAAATTCAACTTAAACAATTCCTAATCAAATAATTCAACAGGACCATCTCCTAGCTGTTCTTACGGCCACCAAAACTGAACACATGCACCTTCGTTTTGTGCCTTTAAAGGCTCAGAAACAATTTAAATAGAGCAAAGAAAGGATATACGATCATTTGTACAAAAGAAACACAATGCAACAAATACCTCGAAAGTACACACCAGCGGACGACGTCGATTCCTTGCCCACTCTCAGAAAGTGACATTTAAGCATTACGCACCTCGTTTACGTACTGCCAGTTTCTTCCTTCGAGATACCACCCCAGGCTCAGTGAAAGTGGTCTTTTTTTGCCCAACTGCGAGCTTTCATGTAGTCTCTATGTGATAAATATCACACATTCTTGGATGTCGTCGCACGGCCGCTCGATTTTACCCCTTTGGTGCGACCCCCCCAAGGAAGTTAAAAGTAACTAATCAGCCCAAGGAGATTAAAGTAAAAGGGATCAAGAATCAAAAGCATATTTCTGAGAGTAGGGGGAGGGGGATCACTGCAGCTTTCCCTCATACATACATATTTTTTTCGATAAACATATAATTTTGTACGTGCGGTGCTTGGGACACCCACTTTTATATTCCACGCAAAGAAAGTAGTTGAAATCTTTTATATTCCATGCAAAGAAAGTAGTTGAAATCTACTTGTGCATAAGATTCTGTTACATGAAAGAGAAAATAAACAAAAAAATGTTCTGTTCTGTTCTAACTGTTTTGCTGTGGAGAGGTTGAAGACCATATTGCCTCAGCTACTCCATATCAATAAGTTCTGCAGCAAAAAAATATATATAACTGAATGATACTCAAAAATAAACAATAAAAAAAAACATAATAGCACACTGAAACCAGTTCAAATATCATGCCAATGCACAGTTTGCTTGCAGCAGTTCATACTGCCATAAACTGCTCACATGCACACGTCCCTTTTCTACTGTCAGTATATGCACTAACACATTTCATATATATCAATACCTGGCTGTCTATCACAGGCGCTTATCCTGTCCGGTCTCCACTAAAGAGTCTGTCATGAAGATGTTCGCCTTTTTTTTTAAGATGCACCTCAAGCCATGGTCTGAGTAATTTTTTTAATGTGAGGGGCGTCTGTCCAAACTTGCTAATTTGTTCCTTAATTTTTCTCTTCCATTCGCATATTTAACGCACTCCAAAATAATATGGCAAACATTTTCTTCTGCATGACCACAATAGCACTCCACGGAGTTGGATCGATGTATTTTGTGCAGGAAGCTGTTTGTGTATACTACTTCCAATCGAAGTCTGTGGATTAATGTCTCCAAATATTGTGGAAGATCTGTCCCTAAGAAAACTTTTCTGTGTAGATCAACCTCATAAAATACTGATTCTTTTGATCTAGGGCTATCGAACCACTTCTCCATTGAACAATTGTTTTGCTCCTTGCGTTATAAAATGTCGAATATCAGCCTCAGACATAAGGATTGCACAATCCCTCCTTCGTTCAACGCTTTCTTGGCGAAGCTGTCAGCCTCTTCGTTTCCCTTTATTCCAATGTGACTGGGTATACATTAGAATACGATGTTGTGACCCTGCGCTGAGGCATAGTTCACAGTTTCTGTAATACATTGTGCTATTTCACCATTTTCGTGAAGTGATCTCGAATTTTTGACTAGCTGAGGGGCAGGTTTGCTATCCATGCATATCACCCATTTCGTGGCTCAGAATTCTCGCAGATAGGCTATACTGCTTCAAAGATAGTCACCAAGTCTGCTGTCATCAATGAAGATTTGTGCGATAGCTTGTACATTCACTTTTTCTGAATTTTGGGTAGCAAGACCGCACAGGCTGACGCTTCTTCAGTGCACGATCCATCTGTAAATATCTTCGTTTTTTCGTTATGCATTATATGAAAATGATGAAGTACCATCTGTGCCGCTACTAGAGACACCATGTCTGCACTCTCCGCATGCCATCTATTTCACAGATAACATTGAGAAGTGGCAGCGTCCAAGGTAGTTTTGAAGGTTTCTATCGTTTAAATCCTGGTACTACTGCTTGGAATATGATACACTCTCACGAGTATGCTTATTTTGAAAAACCAGCGTTACATGCTCTTAGTCGGTCTGCATGCTTGCAAGGAAAACGCTTAAAGAAATAGAATAAGGCCGACTGTATTCTTGTTTGCCATTTGACTTCTTATTCTTGAGAATTTAATGCTTAATGCCCTCTATAACCGTTAAAAACAACGACGGAAAGAAGCGGCCGGCGCGCTTTGGCTACCGTATCTTGCCTATGGCAAGATGGCCACCACGACATCACTGCGCCCAAATTGGTATGTATGAGCGGCCTCCACTCCAGCAAGATTTATTTAAACCTCCTTGGACCCGCCGAATGCTCCTTTCCACCTGTGACAGCGCTAGTGTCCTTTCATCCCGTCGCATCGGCTATGGCGCTAGCTATCGGCGACTGATTAACGTTGTCATACGCTCCAGTGATGCCCAGATAAGCTACCTGTGAGGGCCTGTTCTGATTGAATGTGGCGATATACACCCAGGTATATGTGTGGGTATGAGCCTTCATAAGGCTTTGGGTTTTAAGGACAACCACGGAAAGCAGAACATGTCTGCGATAGAAGCAAGTAAGAGACGTTAAATAATTGGTGGCAGAAAAGTAGAGATAAATGACAGAAATAGTGGGACAAATGAGGTAATTCAGTCTGAAGAGGCAGAGTGATGGACCATGAATTTATATTTTTCTTTGTTATAATATGATAAATTTTATTGAAGTAGAGAAGGCATTAGGCCAACTTAAAAAAGAAGTTTTCTTGTTTTTTTTTTTTTTGTTCCGAGATTGTGGCACACGGGTCACCACCCCGTTATTATGGTCTCTAGTATATTCTAGGGACTATACCGTTTTAATAGGTCACTCATAGCCAATAGCATCCATTCATCCATCCACTTCAGAGTCTGACGTCTATCCCAGAATGCCATTAAAGCGTCTTATTGTGCCAAGTTTAGAAACAATTTACTTGTAGGAAAATTTACTCTGCAGCGAATGGAAGAGATGGCCATGGCTTACTTCGAGGGCAATTTCATTCCCGACCGTGGTTGAAAGAAAATGGGAGATGCTTCTGGCCTGGTGAATAGCCACGCCGGCACGGAACCACGAAGACCACGTGCAGAAGGTGTTTGGCAAAGGCAAGCCGAAAAAGAAGCCAGCAACAGTGAGAAGCTTAATGAGAATTAAGCTGACCTCAATGGGTACTGCGAGGA